TAAAGTAAATAGTAAAGGTATCCATGTAGCAGGCCGTGAGGCCCATAAAGTTGTGAGATGTTGAGGTTCCCACATTTTCTAGAAAATCGGCTCATAGATGGCGGTAAGGTTGTCAGCCCTACGCGCCGGCCGCCCTTTACCCCCAAGAATATTCCTGGTATTCATTTCTGTTAGAGGCTGAGTCGGCCCCAGGGCCATAGTGTGGCTGGAAGGATTAGGTCAACTGAAAAGAATCCAATGACCTCAACGTGACTTGAACCCGCGATCTTCCGGCTTGTAGCATAGCCCCCTCAACCAACTACGCTACCGCGTGCCCCATTATATAAGTATACCAAATGCAATAAGACGCAACTTAAGCTGTACAATAGGGACAATTGTTGTGGGATGTTATCTCCACTCACGGTTAAGCAGAATATCACGGTTTATTGTTGGATATATTCATCTAACGCGATTCTAACTACAGTTTCTAATATTAAGTTCAAATCCAGATTCCTAGAACGCCCTCAAAATGTACATATGGTGGCGCTTTACGGACTAGACACGGGTTTTTGATTGATAATTTCATCTATTGGGCTCATAGAGACAGGTTTACTTTACGACAGTGTAGGTCGTGTCATAGCTCAGGTCATGTGGGATTTGTGGTGGACAAAGTGGCAGTGGGGCAGGTTTTCTCCGAATACTTCTTTATCCCCTGCCATTTCTCACTACATTATACAGGGTGATTATAAATGATTGTTAGGGTTACCTTGATCTATAATTTTCAAACCGGAACAACAAAATGAATCTGCTTACGAATAAGAAAGTGTAAATAATGAGCTGTGTACTTATAGAATCAATAGTGCAGAATGCTAAACAAATTTAATACGCCCGACTTTCATAACACGTAAGATGTCCAAGCATTTGCGGTGTAACTGTTTAGATTTTTCAGTTCGGTGCAGAACACAACCAGTCTCTTGGAATTTGCTTTAACCAACTTCGGATAATGTTATCTGAAGGTGAATCTTTTCCGCATTGAGTTCTATAACGACGTTGCATTTTTGATAACGGCTTTATTTCCGAAAAAAAAATATATAAGCAAATTGCTTTCTTTTGAACAGTCGCCATTTTGAGATATTACGCCTTATTTTCTCCCAGGCAATAATTCGGGGTGTATAGCGTTACCGCATAAAACGTTTTGAGTTATATTTTCATACTCCATAAGCGATTTTATTTCATTTTTTACGGATTTGAAAATTATAGGCCACGGAACCCCCGATAATAATTTAGAATCACATTGTACTGCTGATAATCTTCATATTTCGTAGCGTAACAGTTGATGGACTCGAGAAGATGTAGGCACTTAAGAGACTGACGTATCTTGGGCCGCGTGGGATCGTTACTGAAAGCGAGTTCGTGCTCAAGCATCGACCGTAACTTCTGTTTTTCTCGTTAGTTCTCGAATTCCACGAGATGATGAAAACCACCCATCTCCACTATCATACGTGACGAGAGACGATTAAGTTGCATGTTCAGCTTACTTCATCTCTGTCTGAAAGGAAAGGATAAAACGTTTGTTTCCTCACGACCCACTTCCTGGGTAATGACATTTCAGGTCAAAACTTAGCACCACTTGCAGCGCCTCTAAACGGAAAAGAAGAACAATTCTTAGTTCTGATCCTTGATAGAATAACCAGAGGACATGGTACAATGCTTGATTCTCGTATTATATAACGATGCTCTTTCAGCTGCAGAGATTATATAGCGTCGAATGTTGTGGGAATGTAAACATTAATAAATGGTTAGTGTGTAAAGATTTGAAAGGGTGTGGTTTTTTGTGGCTCCTTTGAGGGTACTGTTCCCGCGTTACCGCTGTCCACTCTCAGTTAAAATCATGAGTTACTCCATACAAAAAAAAAACTTCGTGGCCTGTAGTCCGCAAGCGAACTATACCGACCGAGCGGCCGCCGTTTTTCGGCGAAGTTAGTGCCAACTTTAGCGGATAGAGGGTGTCACGTGGTCAGCGCAACGGATCCCTACGGCCGTTACTCTCAGTTTTCTAGACCGGAGCTGCTATTTCTTTCAACTAGCTCCTCAATTATCCTCACGAGGCTGAGTGGCCTCGTTCCAGACCCACTACATATCAGAATATCTAGTAGCGCCGGGAATCGAACCTGGACCTCTGGATCTTGGCACGGGGTAGCGTAGTGGTTGAGGTGCTACGCTACAATCCGGAAGGTCGCGGGTTCAAATCCCGATGAGGTCATTGGATTTTTTTTTAGTTGCCCTAATCCTTCAAGCCGCACTAGGCCCTGGGGTTTACTCAGCCTCTAACAGAAATGAGTACCAGGAATTAAATAAATAATTTTCCTGGGGAATAAAGCGCGGCCGGCGCGTAAGGCTGACCACCTTACCACCATCTTTGAACCGACTGTCTAGATAATGTGAGACCCTCAACGTCTCAAAACCCTATGGGCCTTCACGGCCTGGTACAGGGATAGCTTTACTTTTACTGAGGAAAACCAAACTCTATCAGTATAGTTGGTATCTGATCCGGTATTCGAACCGGGCACGTCTCAAATGCAAGTCAGAAGTCTTTCCCCTTGTTCCTTCTCGTCCGGTACGTACGTCTAAACGGGAGAATTGTATTTAAATGTACCTTAAAGAAATTAGGTTTAAGGATATGAATTACATTTATCTAGGTGAGGACAGGCTTTGCGAGAACCTTATTTTGACCAGCTGAGAGACTCTTAGAGTCTCAAGATGGGATCTGTTCAATGGCGTTGATTGTATTTGGCACGTACATTAATCTTGTATTACAGCCATCCCCCGTCCAAATCGACAATTCCATTCATCTGCTCTCCCGCTGCCTGTTGCCCACTCCATCGGCAGTCGCCAGTGCGCGCGCGCATTGGCCATGCTTCACATCGGACAACCATCTTATCAATGGTCACTGTTTTTAATCACATTTTGCAATTTTTTTAATCAAACTGGCGAAATTATGGACCCTACAATGAAAACCAAAGCAGTGTTAAAAATTTGGTTCGTTAGCCAACAAATCTCTAATCAACAAGGCTTTATGGAACGAATTAACGTAGATTAATGGGTTATCTCTGTAGAATACTAGTCACGCGCTATGTAAAATGCTGCATTGGTTGTAGAGAATGCCCTATTAATATTGTTTCATTTTCATACAGAGATATTCGCGCAGGAAGTGTCTCCCACATGCAAAGACGAAAAAAAAAAACTCCGTGGTCTGTAGTCCGCAAGCGAACAATACCGATCGAGCGACCGCCGCTTGTCGGCGAAGTTAGTGGTCTAGTGGTCAGAGTTCCTGGGTTCGATTCACGGCACTACCAGATTTCCTGAGAAGCGGTGGGTCTGGAACCGGGTCCAGTCATCCTCGTGAGGATAATTGAGGAGCTATTTCAAGGAAATAGCGGTTCCGGTCTAGAAAACCGAGACTAACGGCCGCGGGGATCCGTTGTTCTGTCCACGTGACAGCCTCTATCCGCTAAAGTTGGCATGTGTAAAGACGAACGTTCATAAACTACTATAGTAATTTATGATCGCAGTGTCTGTATGGGCGTGAAACTTAGTCTCTGACATTAAGGAAGGAACGCAGACTGAAGGTGTTGGAGAACAGGGTACTCAGGAGAATACTAAAAGTGCAGAGAGATGGAATACTAGGAAGTTGTGAAAAATTACATAATAAGGAGCTTCATAACTTGTACTCTTCACCAAATGAAAACAATGACCAAGTAAAAGAAGATGGACAGGGCATGGAGCATACATGGGAGAAGAGGAATTCATGCAGATATTCTGTGGGAAAGCAAGAAGGCAAGAGACTACTGAGAAGACCTAGACGTAGGTGGGAAGATAATGTTAAATACTCGTAGATCTGAGAGAAATAGGGTGGTGTGGCCTGGATTGATCTGGTTCAGGATGGGATAAGTGGAGGGCTCTTGTGATCACGGTAATGAATTTTCGGTTTCCACAAAATGACGGTTATTTCTTGAATAGCTGAGCGACTGGTGGCTTCTCAAATACTCAGCTCCATGCAGTTAGTACTTGCATGTAGAATTGTGAATGGCATTTAGGCAGACCGCAGCACGCCACTGTGTATATGTGTGCGTTGGGGAAGGCGGGGGCAGTAGGAACCCAGGTGGCACATTCTGTGTGATGCCCTGGGGACATCATCGCTCAATGTCCATTACGGAGGTGTTCTTGCCCTCTATGTTTCTACAGTCTACTAGCGGAGAATTCCTCCCATTCAGCTGGAAATGTCGTTTTCATGGGAACCAATTTAACCTCCTTTTCCAATAGATGAAACTTCATTATGTTCATAGAATTCTTTTTACGTACAGAATTGTTGTTTGGGTCATTTCGTCGTGTCTCCAATACCTTTATTTCGGGCACGTCATTCGCTGTGATATAGGAAATCTGTTGCTCTTCTTTATCCTTGTCCTCGTCCTGACCACTGATCCGGTCTTCTCTGGTCTTGGCTGAGCGGGTTTCTCAGCTCTGCTCCGCTTGCCACTGGCCCCTCTTCTCACTTCACCTCATCTCTGGTGTAATGTCCCTGAGGTAGGTTCTTGGCGCACCGAATAGCAGACACCGCCCCCGAACAGTTCAGTATTTCATTTCCGTGATAACGCCTGCCAATGTACGCGTTGCAGCGTTTAATGTTTTTACAACTGCCGCCTAGGCAACGAGGTATTCTCTGTTCCTTGTATGGGAAACATAGCTACTGAACCGTTGTCTAGCAATGGACGTCTCCGTATGCGCTATCTCGGAAACGTGTTTTATTAACGCTCGTTGCCTAGGAAACTGGTATGCGAAGCTCCACTCAGCAGATGTGGGATCAGGCTTTCAGGCGTCGCGTCACATTATTATTATTATTATTATTATTATTATTATTATACATCATTATCTTCCATTAATATATTTGTTAGAACTCCCATTTTCCCATTTGTTCTTCCTCTCTACAGCACATACGGCCATACCTGTTTTTGTGCTTACAGGGGGACTCATCCTTAAAGGCAACCCGTGGACATGCGACTGCGGACTGGTGTGGCTCGGTCATTGGTTGAGGAGGTATCTACGGGAAACGAAACAGATACACACAGTTGTGCTGGAGGGCGCCCTCCAGATGCACAGCCTCGCCAGGGAGGCCACATGTACGGATCCCAGGACGGGACAACAGACCCCAATCCCAGATCTGTATCCCGAAGACCTCAGGTGCCACGCAAGTGCGTTAAGTAGAGGCGGGTCCTCCTCAAGATGTGCTTTCAGTAGTAGGCATCAGAGGACGCTGGTAGCGCTGCTACTCATATACTGGTGGTCTTAGTGACGTCACGCTTACAGTAACTGAGAGTGAATGCAACAATGACACATATCATGGGGGCAAGAGGAACTTCTGACTGAGAATTACTGTGGAAGGTCTATGTTGGTGACATCTATCTGTCGTTGAAGAAACTATTACACCTTCCTAATTATACAGATTCGTCTAATGAGATGTGTGCGGAAGTAAAATCGGAGTGGTTCACAGGAAAATGTTTAGAAGGAACTAAATTGGATGTCGCCCTCAGAGAATATATAGATGTTCTGCAACCAAATGAATTCAGTGGTCAAATTTATTTGTCAGTTGTTCCTTTCTTATTAGTTTGTTATGGAATTGTAATTATGTTGTTTAAGTTTAATTTGTGACCTGCAAATGTAAATAAACAAGCAGCTCAGCTCTAAAATACGCAGGCAGCTGTAGTAAAAACTGATCTTTTACAACTTTAAAATATACAAGTGTGTTAAATTAAGTCCACAGACACAGAAAATATTTTTAAACGTAGAAAGTTCAATTACAACATATAATCCCCAATTCTAATGTACAGCCCATTATGGAGAATTACAATATTTAATAAAAATTCTGGAAATTTGTTTCTAACTTAAAGAATTCAATAGTGCAAACTATGTCACAGAAAATGTGTTATTTATTTTGAATAACTTGAGGAATTTCTAAAATATTTAAAAAGTCTGAAAATTGTTGTTATTTGGTGTTACAATTATTTTAATTTTATTAATGATAAAACTGATCTTCAGCTATTTTATTTTTCAGTTTACTACAAAAATTATTAGCGCTAGCTGTGTGAAAATTATCAAAACCCTGCTTTAAAGCAATGAAGTGCTACTTTATACAGTTTCTTGTACTGACCTATAAACATTGCAAGCAACCGGTTAGAAACAAGTTTGCTGGAAGAATGCTGTTTTCAGACAGAAGTTTACCGACGTTTTGGATGAACTTTGGTAAACTTCCCAGAAAACAGTACTCTTTGTGATCATTTCTGTGAGAATCTCACATCTATTACAGTTATGTCTGTAGAGAGAACTTAGCGAATCACAGTTATTTTAAACCCTATGAGAAATATTAGGCCTCATTTGCGAATACAATTAACAGGTGTTAATTTTAAGTTGCATCTAAATTTTAATTCCTGTAAGTGCTTTTAATTTAATAAAAATTTATTTCCTCATATCCTTATTTTCATTTGTTTTACCGATTCAAACTTCATAACATCTTATCTATTTTGAGGTGAAACTCCATGTAACAAAATTATATTATGTTTCCATCAAACATAATTAGGTTTCCTGTATATCAGTGTTACGTCACAAACTCTACATTGTCTGTGACACATTTCATAAAGAGGAAATTTTGAGAGTTGACTCTATGCCCATCTACAGGTAATTGTTTATTGTGTTCTCTGTGGTCTAGAGGTTAGAGTTCCTGGCTACAGATCCAAATGTCCGGGTTCGATTCCCAGCGCTACTAGATTTTTTTGAGAAGTAGTGGGTCTGGAACGGGATCCACTCAGCCTCGTATTGATAATTGAGGAGCTATTTCAAGGAAATAGTGGCTCTGGTCTAGAAAACCGAAATTAACGGCCATGGGGATTCGTTGCGCTGACCACGTGACACCCTCTATCCGCTAAAGTTGGCACTAACTTCGCTGACAAGAGGCGGTCTCTCGGTCGGTATAGTTCGCTTGCGGAGTTTGTTTGTTTATTCCTATTATTCCTATATTAAGATTCAGAAGATCGTAAATTTCATCGCAACCAGTGTCACTGATCACAAAACAAAGAGATAAAGTATCTCCCAACATATCGAGAAACATACACCTGAAGACAGAAACAGATCTAAAGCGCTAGATACTCTCTTCATAAAACGGACCTCAGATAATGACAAGAGTGTTCAACAATATATTAGTATAATTTATCAACTTCAGACAGAATTTTAGTAAACATATAGATTTAAAGTGCAAGGAAAATGAAAACCTTTTGGCACTGCACATCAGTATCTATTCTATACTTTTATTTTCCCAGAATACATGGGACACTAAGTTTTCCAATATTTCGGAAGAATGAAACGCTGAATTCCAAAAAATTTAGGTAGGTTCCTCTTAAAGCTGCTTGTTAATTTAATCAGTTAATACATAATGATTTCTATTTTTTCAAGTAATTTTCTAAATAGAATGGGACTTAACTCGCTAAAATACATTATAAGGCACACGAAGCCTGAGGGCCTACTGGTTGTGAATGTAATATTGGTTTCATAACACCAGTAAACAAAAGCAGATCACACTTTCCAGTCTTACACCGAGTAGATTCAAATAGTTATGTCCAGAAAGTAAGATGGTCTTTATCTCTGGGGTCATTTTTAGTACTGATCCATATGAAAGTAATAATTTTTTTATTGCTAGTGGGGTGGGACTAAGTCCCTTGTACTGCGGACACTTCTGGCCTATTTTACCAGCCCCAGATGATAGGTGAGGGTGATTGTGGAGCAATTGGTAGAATGAAGATTGGCAGGAGAAACCGAAGTACTCGGAGAAAACCTGCCCCAGCGTCACTTTGTCCACCACAAATCCCACTTGAACACACCGGGGATAACCCGGGCCGTTGCGGTGGGAATCCAGCGACTAAACGCTTGAGCTATGGCGCGGTCTCTTATCAAAATAAGTAACACAAGTAGATACTGTGTTTATACTGTATGCATTTTCTTGGATAGCGACTAATATTTGTATCAAAATCAGCTACTACAAAACAAATTTTAAAACAAACAAATAAATAAAAGGATGGATCTTAAACAGAAGGTTGCGCCAGAACCCACAGATATAGGCCATTTACATAATTACAGGGTTGCCAAATCTTTTCAAAGGCCTACACATCCTTCAGAATAATTTCTGTAGTGAAATTTGTGTGTAAATAGTATATGGAATAAAAACTATTAACAAAGGACGATCGCAAATTTGGTTGCAGTATCGAAGCAATAAAATATACTGTATATCATCTGTACTGTGATGAAGCGTAAGGTTGCACTGAAACAATTACACTCCAAATAATGTAATTACGTGGTGAGAATGAAGAATCAGTGAATTGCTTGTCAGTGGATATTCATATTTCATTTCAGGACAGTAGGGATATATGACTATGCAATGCATGACGTTATAATTAAAATATATAATTAACTTTTGAATACACAGAATGTTTGAAATTATGACAGCCACAATCGTTTCTGAGGAGAAATTTTAACCTATGTACAAGGTTCCAAGGTCCAAAAAAAAATGTTAACATATAGAGTCTAAACTGACTTTGGTTTTAAAAGTACGAAAACTGTAAAGTAACACATACGAGTATTTTGCGTGTTTAACATATGGAGTGATTACCAATGCAAATTTATTTTGGGGTCATCCATGAAGTAATCGACCGCTTCTGTGGTCTAGTGGTCAGAGTTCCTGACTACAGATCCAGAGTTCCCGGGTTCTTTCCCCGGCGCTACCAGATTTTCTGAGAAGTAGTGGGTCTGGAACGGGGTCCACTCAGCCTCGTGAGGATAACTGAGGAGTTATTTCAAGGATATAGCTGCTCCGATCTAAAAAAAACATAAATTAACGGCCGTGGGGATTCGTTGCGCTGACCACGCGACACCCTCTATCCGCTAAAGTTGGCACTAACTTCGCCGACAAGCGGCGATCGCTCGGTCGGTATAGTTCGGTTGTGGGCTAAAACCATGCAGTTTATTTGTTTTTTATGAAATAATCTGAAATAAAATTCCTGTGAAGAGTTCTTTCTTCTGGGATATGACACCGTGTAGTCTGATAACTGAAAGAAACGTACTGCTCCATCTTCATGGTCGAAGAGAACATAAAGTAAAAGGCCAGCATGAAGCAAACAACAAGAAACCCTCTGCTTGCTTCGGCTGACTTTCACTAGACTACGTAATGACAAATCCCCGAAGATAGAAATCTTGACACATGACACTCTGAGAACCCCATATAAACGTGATACTTCTGAGTTTTCCATGACTTGGCCCACTTCCTGGTCACAATGAAGTGATGAATGGCATTAAGCAGAAAATAGTATTCACTGTGAAGTTAAAATCATGTCGTTAAAAATAACTGGAACCATTTTCATGCTGTGCTGAAAAGGCTTGTTAAGGACACAGCATTTTAATGATTTAAAATCTACTGTTTGGTATTGAGCATGACATGATATTTTTTTTTGCATGATTTGTAATAAAAATTGCTATTTCATATGAGAACATGTATTTTTTTGAAACGTACAAGTTATATTCTTTATTGGATATTTCAGTTTACAGTTCACATTTTTAAACATTCTGTGTATGGCTGATATGTTTTGTATATAACTGCTGAATTGTTGGGTTGCGATGGCAATGCTAAATACATGAAATTCAATTATACTTTATTTCAAACACATATGCTCTCTCTCCTCTTCTCCCACCAATTTATCTTTCAGACGCCCTTCAAAATAACAAATACAGGCTAATGAGATTCTTTGTACATTAAACTCTCGGGGTCACATAACAAATACATATATATATATATATATGTAGATAATTACATGCCCCAAAGCATCCATATCACATTGACAATTTTATGACACAAAAATATTTGTCATGCTCCATGAAAGATGTTTTTATAGTTCAGAATTTTCCTCATACATTCCCAGTGACTACAGTAAATACTGTTAGAGAGAAATTCATTTTTCATATATGTTTTCAATGAACTCTTTAAGGAAATACGCAATTATATAATGCTTACATCAGGATCATAAATATATTATACGTTTATCATTGGATGATTAAAAAGAGCACCCAGAAACATTGGGCTGATTTATGAATGCAAAATTAGGAGAACTGCTTGTTATGATGTTTAGACTCACCATACGGAAATCATAAGATGAAACGTGCAGAATCTGTGTCCTGCTTACTGAGTAGTTCCAACATGCGCAGATACTCAGGTCCTGGAAAGGGAATACACATTATTAAATGCCAGTTTTCTGTAAAACTCATATAATGTAAAATTTCTTTACTACCTTCATATAGGAAGGAACATTATTTTACATTATGTGCACATCCAGATTAATCACAATAATTATTTTTACCATAAAATATGTTAAATTAAAACAATAAATTCTTAAATATGTTTTAATTCAAAATATTTCTCTTTCCTGTGGCGCTACAGCCCCAATTTGGGCCTAGGCCTACCTCCATGAATCTCTCCGTTTCACTTCGGTTTACTAGATCTTACACATACGGTAGGACTCCTTGGGCGAGTGATCAGCTCGTCGCAAGGCCTCTACCTGTACACAAACACAGAAAAACGCACACAAACATCCATGCCCTGAGTGGAATTCGAACCCACGATCCCGGCTTCCAAGCGAGCGAAGACAGTACATGCCTTAGACCGCTCGGCTACCGTGACCGGCTAATTCAAAATATACTTCCTGGAAAACACAAAAGTGTTTCTTGTGGAAGTCTGAAACAAAGATGTACATTTAAGTCAATAACTTCTTACAGAAGTTATTTATACTTGCTGTAGTCGGAATATGAAGGGTTCAAAATTGATGGCAGAAGAGAAAAATGGAGCTGTGTCCTTAGTTCACTGACCAACATTTTCAGTTCGGGTTTTCTTTTCAAACAATTATGCAGTTATACAACAGCTCTGTATGTTGGAAAAAAAAAGAAATGAAATGTCTTATAACTCTACAAAACTTCACTGTTTTATAACAAAATAAAATAATATTTTAAAAACAATTCATACTTTTTCAAACAGTCCGACAACCACACAAAATAATTACAATTTTTCAGGTTTCTTTGACTATAAGGCTGGGGCCACACGAGCGCACAAAATACGTCCGTTGTAACGAACTTCGTGACGTCCGTTGTAGAAATAAACAAGAGAGGCGAATGCTACGCTTTCTTCTGGCTCCATTGCAGACAAAAAAAAAAATACGCTCCGCATTCTACAACTGTGTGTTGTCCTTTGCAACGTCCGTAATAAAGTAAGTTCGTTGCAACGGACGTACTTCGTGCGCCCGTATGGCCCCAGCCTAAGACACACTGAAATTATATATCAGACAGATATGTATGTATTAAGTTACTGGAAGCTGTGAATTCAATGTGGAATAGTGGAGGTAAATGAGGTTTATCTCTATATTACCCACAATTATCAAACATCATTCTTTGCTAAGACATGGCATGTTCACACAGAATGCATTGTAAAATTAATATTATATTTATATTATTTTCTAGAAATTTTATATTTAACAGTTACATGCCCTATATCGGTTCTTGTAATAACGAGGCTTGTCCCCCATCAAACATGAATGGTGCATTGTTATGAGACACTGTATTTCCATCTTCTGTTACATAAGTAAGATAGGAAACCAGGTCATGTAATATAACATAACCCAGCCAAAACCTAACTCTTGCAATCCTACATCCAGTGCCTTATTAAATATATTACCTTTCTCTTTGTGATGCCATAACTATTATTGTATATATAAATAGTAGCATCTACCATAAGTATTACAAATGTATGATAAAATGAAACTAAGAAGTTATTTGCTCAAGGGCAATATGAGTTTAAAATATTTATAAACTTTTCAAAGAAACAAAGTTGAATTTTGAAGGGGTAAAACATTACATCCCACACAGCATTTAATGTTAAAAACATTATGAAAAAGGTAAAACAAATAAAATTAGCGGATGTCTTATGTATAGAACAAGTGAAGTGTGAATTTGTCTTACTCTGACGTATTTTTCTTGGTGAGAATGAAACAGAATGGACGTGCAGATTGCTATCAAGTCAGATTCTTAAGCGGGAGGTCAATGGGAGTCTAGCTTTCACAGTAATTTCGATTTCATCAACTTTCTTCAGGAAAACTTAATGTCAATGCAACATTTGTTTAAATATATGTACACTGTTTGAAATAAATTCTAATTGATTCTACAACAGAATCAAATGTTTCAATAACTGTGAACTATATATTAAAACATATTTTAAAATTGAAAAATTATTCCATTATTCGCTCTAAATTCTCTAATGCCACATTAATAAATGCAGGACGGTTATAGTCAACTTTGCCAAGATGCAATCTTTCCATTGTAGGTGACCATTTGTGTGAGTTATCACCTTTTTGTATTCTGTCAACTTCTGTAGTAAGACCATAGACTGAAGGTTACTGGTAAAACTGCAGTATCTGCCTAACATGTCCCTCAGAATTAATAGTGTCTGCATTATGCTCCCCACTTCCACCCTCACGTCCTGTCCTGAACTATCAGACCATTACCCCTTCCCACTGGCTGCTACCCCGCTCCACACTCTCACCCTTACTTCCTTCATGAGAACTCTACATTGGACCACGTCCACTTTCGGCCTGATATAGTCTGAAGATGGAGACTGCAATGTATGTTGAAACATTGCAGCACCTTCAATACCCCAAAAACTGAAATTACAAAATATCCAACATAATACTGGTCTAGAAAGATAATTTTGACTAGTTTATATTGGAATGTCCCAGAATAGATATTTGTGCAGTTCACAATAAATTAGCATTACTAGGCATACCATTTGCCTTGCTATTATCAGTAACTGAAGCATAAGAAGAAGTGTTATACTGTTAACTGGCCTAGTGATGTATACGCAATTATGCACACTTGTACAAACGTGTACATCAAGATATTCATGTGCTGTGTGGGAGTTAACTATATATTATGTTTCTCTTACGAGAATATTTTCTAAGTGTCTGCCACAAACATAACTACATTAAAATGGTCATGTTATCAAAAATATCTATAGCTGTTTCTGTGGCATTTACTTGTGTTCCTATATTACAAATCCATCCGCCCATTGTATATTTGCCAAACTATGGACATTCTGTAAAGAGAATCGACTAATTTCTTTAACTCATTCTGCCATGCATACAAATGTGCAGAACTACAATGGGCAATGTAGTGTTATTTCTAACTTCTTAATTTAATAAAATAGAATGCACAAAATTTGAGTGCAAGTGATTAATTTCCCTTAATTATTTTGTATAGGTGTGGGCATAATTACATTGTATTCTATAAATATATGTATGCACACACATCGTATTATGCTGCATCTTCTGTTTACGTTGTATATAAGCAAATTCTTTCCTATGAATATTGTTTAGGGCCTCAAAACCATGTACTAACTTATGTTATGTGAAGAATTTTAATTTTTCATCTGTATTAACTGTATAAAAATACCTAACTTGTTTTAAGTCATGTACACTGCATTATAACTAAACATGAAAACATTATGTTAATTTTAAGGAAATGTGGTAAAGAAACAATGCATGTTGCAGAGATGTGTGAAAATGTTCTAGTATAAAAGAAGTCACATTAACTAACAAAGTCCTGATGATCTATTCCTGTGAAGGAACTACATATATATCAATATGATCACATAGCTTTCTACTTTACTAACCCATCGTAGAAGCAGACGGATTTTTGTACATGAATTCTTAAATGTGTATAAAATTTTAATAAAACTTTAGTGCGTGCAAAGAAAATACTGATGATATGAAATATTACAGTAAAATTTCATGTTGTGATTATTCATGTATGTTACATCAATGAGACCAAGTCCATCTGAATGAAGAATTTGCCCCATGAAGCCGTGTGAAGGAATTCGCTGCTTGAAGTAACAAACCAAACTAAGAGCCACTCATGTGGCTTTGAGAACAGATATTAACACACAGTCGCTAGAATCGTTATGTGTTTTGGTATTGACATGATAATCTAATATAATTGGAAAGCTGATCAAATTAATTGAGCCATTTCACATTTTGCAAAAATTTTTTTATTCAGTGGCGAAATTCTCAAGAAACAGGCCATTCTTCGCTGTACTATCTTTATTGGACATGCGCATAGACGTGTTTCTAATGGCAGGTGGTGAAGATATGAACAAACAAGAGGGAAGACTAAAAAGATCAGGTAGGTGTGGAAGGAATACGACAAAAAAAATAGGCTACCATTCCAAGCAGAGGGTTGGTTAGACATAACTTTTCTTGGAGGATGACCAGCCGGGAAGCAAGGACTGCAGATAAGGAAGGCTAGACAGGCTGAAACGCAAACGTGTAAGTGGAAAAGCGAGCAACATAAACAGACCAGGGGGCTGTGGGAGCAGGAAATGTGGACAGTCAAGGAGGTCAATAATGAAAGGCAGACAGGTATAATGGGTATGTATGTGAGATGTACGGTACGTTCATATGAAAGACTAGGGTCACAATAGAAGAGTCAGTCGGACTGAGAAGGTAGGCGAGTAGGACAGGACAAGCATGCCTGAGATGCCGTGTAGGCCCAGCTAGCAGCAGACCACTTCGAGAAAGGGATGCCACAGGCCGAAACATGGTGTGCATGGGAGATATACCAACACGTACACGTACAAAAAGGTGTGCATGTCAATGTTCATATGTATCATACCTCAGAAAACAAATCCTAAGCCTACTTCCTGTCTCCGTTTATGGGGCCCTTCAGAGTATCAGGCAGAGCAAGCTGTTCTGGGTGGAGATTTCAGCTGATCAACTTTAGATGAGTCGTGGTAACCAGAAAGTAATTCAGCAAGACACGCCACGCGCCTGTGCTAGAAAATTGCATTTTGAGTCAGACAGGCGAGAGAATGGGGTTACTGATGCATGTGATTGACGAACAGGGCCTTGTATCGCCAAAAGAACATGCCGGCCAGGCAGGGGTTTAAGCTGTTAGGAAACAAGGGAGACGGTTAGTTAAACTTTCATATTCCATGGAAAAAAAATAGTAAGCACAGAGGGTGGCAGACATAACGCTTACAGCAGGAGATAGATTTTTAAGAACAAGAAGCAGTATAGAAGTAGACGTCCAGAAATACTGCGAAGGTAGCCTACGTGGGCGTTCACTCTGCAGTGCCACAAAGACGAAACAGGGAAGGAAGAAAATACAGGACAGACGAGTT